TGTGTTACTTGTTGTTGTCCTGAGTACTTGCCTTGGTTATTTTTAATCAATAAAAAAGAATCAAGGAATGATGTTGTGTTACTTGTTGTTGTCCTGAGTACTTGCCTTGGTTATTTTTAATCAATAAAAAAGAATCAAGGAATGATGTTGTGTTACTTGTTGTTGTCCTGAGTACTTGCCTTGGTTATTTTTAATCAATAAAAAAGAATCAAGGAATGATGTTGTGTTACTTGTTGTTGTCCTGAGTATTTGCCTTGGTTATTTTTAATCAATAAAAAAGAATCAAGGAATGATGTTGTGTTACTTGTTGTTGTCCTGAGTATTTGACACGATTATTTTTAGTCAATAAAAAAGAATCAAGGAATGATGTTGTTTTACTTTTTGTTGTCCTGAGTATTTGACACGAATATTTTTATTCAATACTTTGTACCAAAGAATTCCAAACAATAATTGTGATAAAAGTAAAATAATTAATATAGTTTGATAAGATTTACTTTATTTCATTATGGTGAAGTATTGTTTACTTAGTTTACACCCCCCCCCCCAAAAAAAAAACTCCTAGTTAAGATCAATTTCAACATACATAAAAAAATAAGACATAGTATTTAGTATTTGTTTTGCTGTTTGAACTAAAAATAGAAGTAGTAATGTAGCTAACTAAATATAGGAATTTTTAGTTAGCTACATTACTACTCCTATTTTTAGTTAGCTACATTATTACTCCTATTTTTAGTTAGCTACATTACTACTCCTATTTTTAGTTAGCTACATTACTACTATAAAGTTAAAACAGCACAGGAAATTAAATAATAGGTTGAACAAAATGCTAAGTTTTAAATATTTTATTTAAAAAAGAATGATGAAGAGTGCTAGCTCAAAACATCATCCTTCTTTAAATAAGATATAAAAAAACTTGGCAATCGTTCAACCTATAATTTAATTCTGATAAACTAGGTCAGAGTTTCCAAAGCTAACTAACTGTTTGATAAGCAAGTCAACTTTTCTGAGGCTAATTTGTTCTTTAATATACCAGATCAAAGCAAATATACCTTTTGGTAAACTAGGTCAAGGACTCTTTAACTTTTGATAAACTAGATAAAGGTTTCTGAAACTAACTTAGTTTTCATAAGCTAGATAAAGGTTTCCGAAACTAACTTAGTTTTCATAAGCTAGATGAAGGTTTCCGAAACTAACTTAGTTTTCATAAGCTAGATGAAGGTTTCCGAAACTAACTTAGTTTTCATAAGCTAGATGAAGGTTTCCGAAACTAATTTAGTTTTCATAAGCTAGATGAAGGTTTCCGAAACTAACTTAGTTTTCATAAGCTACATAAAGGTTTCCGAACCTAACTTAGTTTTCATAAGCTACATGAAGGTTTCCAAAACTAACTTAGTTTTCATAAACTAGATAAAGGTTTCTGAAACTAACTTAGTTTTCATAAACTAGATAAAGGTTTCTGAAACTAACTTAGTTTTCATAAACTAGATAAAGGTTTCCAAAACTAACTTGCCTTTTGATAAACGAGGTCAAGAGGACACCCCATGTTAATGTCCACAAAATCAACATCAACGTTTTCTGCTAGCATTTGAGCACAGCGAGTCATAACATCTACGTGAGCTCCACAGATCTAAGACAAAAATCATTAAAGTTATTAAAATGTAAAAAAAGAAAATTGCATTTCACTCTGATGCATCTCTCATCCTCATGGACACATTAGTCTATTCAAGTTTTATTAATACCTGCAGTGCGAGGGCAAACGAAAAGTAAGCCTGCCATTGTAAGTGTTATAAAATACAACACTGAAGACAATACAAGAATTTTCTGGGACTTTAGAATTTTAGGGGTAGTGAAATAATACCTTATATTTATTTCTTTTAGTCTATCTAATGACCTAGCCAATACAATAACAATACAAAGAAAGACAACAACGTCATATGTGAATAAAAATCATAAAGATAGACGTTTAAAAAAATATTAGCTACATTACTACTCCTATTTTTAGTTAGCTACATTACTACTCCTATTTTTAGTTAGCTACATTACTACTCCTATTTTTAGTTAGCTACATTACTACTCCTTTTCTAGTTTATCATAAGGTAAGTTAAATTTGTAAATCTTTTGTTTCTGACAGCCATGAATATTTTTGCATGAATTATTCTACCAACACTCTCTGATATAAAATTATTCACATACAATTGCTCTAAGTTTGATTGAATACACAGAAAAGAAAAATTGGTTGCAAGAACATTGTTTATTGTGACAGTGAAAAATTGTGTTGAATTAAAAAAAATTATTAAATCACATTAAAAAAGATCCTGTCAGTGATATTATTTATTAGACACATTATCTTATGTAATAAGGCAGTGTTTCTTAATCTGTGGTGCGTGCACTTCTTAGGGGTGCAAAATGTCATTTCTGGGAGTGCAAACCATGTCAGCGTTTCCATTATAAATAGGGTTTCTCCCTCAGATTCCTGAGATCAGTTGGTAGTGAA